ATGTTTCCACAATTTTTTTGCCTATTTCTGCAAATATTTTCCAATAGCCCAACACTGGTTCTTCGGGTAGCAGTAACTCTTGGGTAAATAATCCTGCTCAGAAAATAAAGATAAAAAATATTATATACAATTTTAAATATTTTACTGTAAAACAAAGAAAAAGCTGCTTATAATTTTAGTAGCTGTCAAGCACTTTTGCCACTATTTATATGATAAGAGTATTTATTGACAGTGTATGCATGCATCACATTGGATAACAACTTTGTAGCAGTTGATCTTCACTGTATGACACCAACCAGGTGTAATGGGATTACTAAGCTTTAACTACTTACTATGTTACGTCATGCAGTTATTGTATTGAGGAATTCAGGCTGTCTCATTTCTGTACATTTTTCTGAAGGTTTTCATTCACACATGTACTGCTTGATCACCAGCTCATGTGATGAATCAGACTTAAGTTATTATTGTATGTGAATGATTTAGTTTCAATATATTACTTATATTGACTTGAATATTGTGAATATAGTTTTCTTTAGATTGTTGGTTGTTTTTGTTATTCTAAACTGTGTTAAATACAATTTAATTAACCTTTCTGCTTGTATATAAGAACTATTACAGAGGTCAAAAAGGGTGGTTGCCTGTGTGTCAATGATATTATACGTACTTTGATGTGTAACATATGACTAGTATTTCTTGGTTATGTTTTGTGTCTATAGAATTAACCCACATAGTAACCTCCCCGAGTGTTTAGTGGAATATGCAATAAAAGAGTGGTTAAATGTTAGCACCCAACATTGGATTTGAACCCACAACTTTGAGATAAAGAGTCTCATGCTCTTCCATTAAACTATGATGGCAGAAAATGATGATGGTCTGTTCATATAAACCAGATGTGAAATGTGAAAAACAATCAAATTTTTAATCCCTTTTGTTGAAAAAGGTTAAAAGTAGCTCACAAGTTCACAAGATATCCTGCCATGGTGCAGACCAACAATCTCTGGTCAACCAGCTTGGAAAAGAAGTCTGAATGATGGGCAACAGAAGGAGGCAGAAGGTGCCTAACGAAAACATCACCCATGTAAGGGAAGAGAAAGAGTGAAAGGAAGAATCAAATGGTACAAAAAAAGGGCAAAACAATATGAAAACTTGCCTAATCAGCAAGGACAGGACAATCACACGTGTGAAGACTAAATGACAACATTTGCAGTAAAAATAGAAGAAGGTTGGAACTAGAGGCACCTCAACAATGGAGTAAAAAGAGGTGCCTAAGATGCCAGTAGGTGGAGAAGAGGAAACCAAGACAGAGCTGGCCAATAAAGTGTTACCAATAAGACTCATTAAGGAATATCACAGAATATCACCAAGACATATGGATGAAGACAGATAGCATAGAATAGGTACAGAAATGAAGAGACCAATACAGACTGAAGATGTCCATACCCATATCAGTTGGTTATGGCATTATGGTCCAAACTAACTGAGGTGACCATACACTCCATGACTTACAGATGAAATTGAGAAGGATGAGCTTGAATGAATTCTGAAGAGAAAAGGACTCTGGGGTGGATCAAATATAGTGTCAGAGTCACAAACAACCAAGTAAATAAGACCAGTCGTCCCAGACAAACAACTTCTCAGAGGAGAAGGGATGTGGCTGTAGAAGAGAACTACAGAGTAGAAACATAAAGTAACCATACATCTAGAAAGGAATAGAAATGATGGCTAAGAGTGTGGAGGTGGTGAACAAAAATCCTCATAACCTACCTGAAGACATAAAAAGCAACAGCCATGCCAAATGTTAGAGCCCCAAATTGGTATACCACATTGTGGTAGATGATCTGAAGGAAACATCATGATGATGGGGCTATTAGAATGTGAAGAAAGGCATCTTAGAAATTGAGCATCTTCATCCAAAGGGATGGGGAAAACAACCTTTTAGGAAAAAGAAATCCCTTATGCTGAAACTGGAGAATCATCTGAAGTGGTTCAGAAAAGAAATATGATGAGGGGATATAAGCCTCTAGTATTCATGGAAACAATGAATAGATGGGAAAAGTTACCCAGAGAGAGAGGCAAGTGACTCTATCACATTCAAAACCAGGAGTTCCAACACTGTGTCCTAAAGATGGTGGGGGGTGCTGAGGATTGGAAGGTGGAGAAAAACATTGAGGAAAGGGGAAGAGAAATAAAGAGAGAGACAGTAGGTAATAACTTGAGTGACCCAATGGCTGGCCATAAAGTGAGTCCACAGGTTAAGAAAGAAGAAAAAAGTGCCCCCACAGAACCTGAGCCAACCAGGCACAAAGAGATGTAGACATTATGTGGGACAGACAAAAGCTAACCCTCCAGAAGATGTGATGGTAAGAGGAGGTAGAGGGGGCAGGAAAAGGAAATAGGAGAAAGGACAAGAGTACATGAGCCAAGGAACATTAAGGGGAAGCATGGGAATGGGCAAGAAGGTGGAGGAAAGAAGTGAGAGAAAACTGATGGCAAGCAGCTTCCACCCGAGACTCCAAGGTGAGAAGTTCACCCCAAATACTGCATGGCAAATGGGTGGAGCAAGATGCAAGCCACATTGAAAGGATTTAGGAAGTAAGATACAAAGAAAAGGATGTCATGTCTAAATCAATCACACATTAACAATGTGAGGAGAGAAAGACAACACCCTGGCCTAATTAGGGAAAATGACCAAGCAGAGATACTCCAGAAAAACTATCTGAATCTAGATGGAGGGCTTCAGATAGGAGATAAAAAGAAAACTGAGAGCAAAAAAAATTAGCCCTGGTAAGGGATACTGGAGACAGAGGGTCAACCTAAGCAGGCACAAGGGATTCCATGGATTAAGGATCCAAAGAGGCAGAATAGTAGTGACCATAAGCAATGTTAAAGGAATTGTGGAAATTATTCATGTGAGGCAGAGAGTAGTGATAACAATGCTGAGACAAGAAGATCTTATTATGGATACTAAAGACAGGTGAAGAGGGAAAGAAGAAAACTATAAAATGAATACATGAAAGAAAAACTGTGAAGAAACATAGGAAATAGGAGAAAAGGGAAAGCATAGTATAAACCCAACACAATTAGCATAGAGAGAGAGAGAGTAATATGTTCCTCAACAAAGAATGGCAAGTTCAGAGCATATCCAGGCAATGGAAAGAGCTGGATAAAATTGTTGAGCTAAGGAATGGAGAACATAGAGGAACTTGGAAGACAGGCAAAATTTATTAATGGGGAAAACTGGCAGTAACATCTTCCATACACAAAAATCCTTCAGCATCCATAGACATGGTAGAAGCTGTGAGGAATTTTGAGACATTACGTTGTTGGGTTTTTTGAGTTCTGCAAATAAACATAGTAAGGGGCTTTAACTAGTCTTAATTCTAGATGAAATTCCAGCTTTGTGAACAGAATTAGAACCTCAGCAGGACAAAGCCACAAAAATGTGAGTTTGCAGGGTTGAACAATAATGAAAGGTAACCCTAACACAACTTGTGGTGTACCACTGTTCATAAATTAATAAAAATGAGAAATGAAATTATAAATCACATGAAAGTTAAAAATGAAGAATAGGCAAGTACTTAAAACAATAAATGGTCAGAAGACAGTAACTATGATAATAATTACCAAATCCAATCAAATCAGTGGCAGGTATGTGAGAAAGAGCTATTGTGTGAAAAGAGGTAAGTGAATCATTTTGAAACTAAAGATATATCTTATTTTACAAAAGTTTTTGAGTCTTTCCTTTAGTGTCCATGTTCAATTTATTTTTCTGCTCGTAAGTCTTTCCAAAACTCCCATGTTGCAGACTCTAGTTATATATCTAAGAAAAATATACACTGATCTTTGAGCTGAAAAATACATATTTCAGATGGTATTCTTTCATAATAACCTTTACTATTTGCAATATTTAATTAAGATCATTCCAGTACTCTTCAAATGCACAAAAGTGCGAACTGATGCAAACACAAAAAGTTATAGCCATATAGACCCTCAGCCTTACTGTAATGATATAAATTTAAGTAAAGTAAGTAATATAACTTTAAAATCTTCTAATAAATGATTCAGTACATTAATCAATTGCTTATGAAAGCTATTAGTATTTATGCTTATTCTAAAATAAAACTAATAAACATTTTAATCTCCAATTAAACAGTACTGACAATAAAATGTGTAACAAAAGTAAACACTTTTCGGAGTAAGTAATTCTTCTTTAACAGTCAGTTGCAAAAGAACAACATTAGTTAATAAGAGTAGCAGTAACACTGCCCTATGGGTGACTATTTGTGTTAGTAATTACTAATCGTAGTATTCATACCACATTAAAAAACAATTTAGAAAAGTGAACATTTTCTAAAAAATATTTTTTCTGGGAAGTACTGCATGGGAAAAGTGTTCGAATTGTGCTCTTTAGTCATATGCAACTCATTGCATCAAAATGATTCAATGTGCAGAGCTCAAAATTTTCATAAGTTTTACTCATATAAACTATAATGTTAAAAGTGGTACCGTTTATTGAAAAAATAATAGTTTTTAAGAACTCCAGTTTCTCAGTACTACATTTAAAAATTACATCAATAAAGATATAATTAAACCTTCATGTACAGTCCTAGTGAAAGTAATTTTCTTGTTGTGAGGACAGTACTTTTATTTAAAATTGTGTTCTGTTATAAAGAAATGGTTGTTGCATATTCCACAGTTATTTTTCTAATTGTCTGAATCTCGAATACCCAAAGTGTGAAATTTTTTATGGATTTGTATTTGTGGTGCCATTCAATAGAGATTTGGTTACATACGTCGATACTGACATACACGCTACATCTATTATAGTAAAGATGCAAAAATTTACCTGAGCCTGAAAAAGCTACTTGAATATATTTAGTCTACTTGTTTTGTTTTTATAATTAATACAATATTATTTTATGCTTAAACATTCTATAACACATAGTGCAATCTTCAAATGTGCATAATTCTTTTGCTTAAATTAACCCTATTTAAAATACCTTTTCTTGTTGTTACATTTAACCATTCTACTATTTTCGTCCCTTCAGGATCTTCAACTTGAACATTCATCTAAAAAAGAATGACATTTCATTTTAACATTTATCTAATATTCAATCAAGACTTTGCTAGTTATTCATATTGAAAGTAGTTAAGTTTAGTATGATACTGGTAAAATCACTGATGTTACATATACTATGCTAAAACACTACAAACCAGCCAGGTAAACACAAAATTATGTTGCAAATACATGAGTATTTCAAAACTATTATCTACTACCTATTTCACATTCATTACAGTATCTGAATATATTAAGCTCATATAGTATATTGACCATGATGTGTAGATCATAATCCTTGTACAACTCCTAACTGTATGTTTACTAACCCATAGCAACCTAATATTTAAAAAAAATGAATGACCAGCTTTTTGTATTATGCCTCATATCAGTATGGATGTATGTTTTAAATTTACACTAAGTAAGAGATTATTATGTCTGTTGAAAGCATTAATATACATTCTGTTAAAAGCATTAATATACATTCTGTTAAAAGCATTAATATACATTCTGTTGAAAGCATTAACATACATTTTGTTGAAAGTATTGATATTGTTATGACAGCGGAAGTCAAGTGACGCTGGTGGAGCATTGGCGCTAGTGCCGTGCGTGATGAGTTTCTCGAATGATCGGGGAAGTCCGAAATGCCCTCTTTGTTAGTATTTAAGCCTGGCAGAGAAAGCCATCAGGGTAAATGAAGAGAGAGCAGTAGTTACTTTGAGTTCTGAGCTAGTGAGCCGTAAGGTGTGTGTTTTGCACTCATCAAGAGCGAAGTTATCGAGATTTTGAATCGCTGTGATTTATAGTGTGTA